CTGGCCAGCCCCCTGTACCTGCGCCTGCAAGTGCCTCGCATGCACCTTTCGTTTCCAGAGAGGAGGGGATTTTTGCGCGCTGGGTGGTCCCTGCAGCGCAGCTGGCAGGTATCCCAACCCGCCTGCCGCCCAGCGCGAGCCCCACAACCGGCCTCCCCTTGCCGCCGCCCCCTGCGCAGGCACCTGCTGCTCAACCTGCGGCTCTGGAGCGCCGCCGCGGCCCCCGTGCAGCAGCAGCTGCTGGCGCTGTGGGGCCAACTGGCTCAGGTGGGGCTGGGGGCAGCTGCGCGCTTGCATGCAGCCAGCCGGGCGGCCTGGTAGGTGCAGCATGCTGCAGCTGGAGCCTGAGCTCGCACCACCAGCAACGCCTGCAGCCTATCAAGCCCCCAGCCTTCCAGCCTTCCCTTGCCCCTGGCTGCCCTGCCCCGTGCCCCTATTTCGATCGATGCAGGGAGAGGCCTTGCTGGTGCGGCGTCTGCTGCCCCCAGCCCAGCTGCTGCACCACGTGCGGCGCTGCTATTGCAGCGGCGGCGGCGGCGGCGGCGGCAGCGGCTTGGGCTCGGCGCAACCCTCCTTGGCCAGCCTGGCATCGCAGCAGGGCGAGGCGTCTGCTTTGGCGCTGCCGCCGGCGCCGCCGTTGGAGGCCCCCGCCGAGCGGCGGCAGGCAGGGGGGGCGGAGGGGGTGGCGAGGTCGGCCGCGGCAGACGCCGCCGCCGCGGCCGCCGCCGCGCTGCGGCGCGGCTACCTGCAGCTGGCGGCCACCATCGTTTCCGAGGCCGCCGCCGCAGCTGGCAGGTCGGGGCCCGAGGCCAGGGCGGCGGCGGCGGCGGCGGCGGCGGCGGGGTGGAAGGCAGAGGCTGGGGCCAGCCCGGGTGCATGGCCCCGGGGAGAGGAAGGGCTGACCGCTGACCTGCAGGCGGCTCTGTCGCTCATGGGAGACTGCTGCGCCAGCCTGGCGGCCAGCCGGGCCAGCGGTGGCGGCGGCAGCGGCGGTACCGGCGGCGGTACCAGCAGCGGCACCGGCGGCGGCGACGCCGGCCTGCTCCAAGAGCTGCTGTCGGTGCTGCTGCTGCCGCTGCTGCGGCGCGACAGCCTGGCGCGCCTGCCGCTGCTGGCCTGCCTGCGGCGGCTGGGCGGGCCCGCGCTGCTGCTGCCGCTGCTGGGCCTGGAGCAGCAGCAGCTGCGCCTGCTGGGACTGCGCGCCATTACCGCCTGCCTCGGCGGCAGCGGCGGCGACGGCGGCGGCGCGCCCAACCCCCCCGGCGGCCCCGGCGACGGCAGCGCAGGCGCGCGCTCCGTGCGGGGCAGACCCGTGCCCGGGCAGCAGCAGCAGCCCCGGGAGGCCCTGCCTGCCCCCACGCCGCGGCGGGACGAGGAGGTGATCGCGGCGGCGGGGCAGCTGCTCGGCGCCTTCCCGCTCACCGCCGCCACCCGCATCGCGCTGTTCGAGGTGCTGTGCGACGGCCTGCCCTGGCAGCAGGTGAGGCTGGTGGGAGGGTGTGGAGTGTGTACATAACCTGTGGTGTATGTGTGTCTTGAGCCGGCGTTTTCGATGCCACCAGCTGCCGCCACAGC